CAAGGTATATGGATCTGCTTCGCACAGTACGTTAAACCAGATATTCTACACGAATAACAACAACACTTTGTCTATGATATCGGTATATATTTTAGGCATACAAACAAGGCATGTATGGATCATCGTATGCTTGGTTCATTCCCGGTTTCTATTCTGAGGGATGGTGGAAAACTAAGGACCCCAATGTCGACTGTACATCTAACGAGTTACGAATAGCTATGCAGAGTGCCATAGAAACTGTCCAGGACGCTAAGCGATACGACAATGTTACTAGCATCAATGGTGAAGTAAGCCATTTGTCTTTTTAATACAATATTCACTGACATTGAGCTTAAAGGGCGGTATTCGTCGCGCCGCGTCCTGATCGATATGGGACTCATAGCGACGTATACAACGCGTGTAAAATACATTGTTTATTTACATGAAATTCTAACACGCGCTGCGCGGCGACCACCGCGCTTTAAAGCTTCAACATGTTGACCAGTTATGACTTCTCCTTCTCCTCTCTGCAAACTATTTTTTATAGTCCGTATTCATGATTTCTTTTTGCGTCAATCAATGAAAATTATAATTGTGTTATGCTCACCAGAATGAAACATATCTAAGCCTAGAAATTTGTAACGCCATAACAATGTATACTCTCTACATGATCATTTAGCAAAATAATCATTTAAGGCGTGTCAAAATCGAATGAAATTATTATATTTTCTTCCAAAATATCTTCATTTCACTAAACGAATTATAATTAGAGGGTAACTGACGTACATGTCTTCTTTCGTTTTCTAAGACATTTGCAGAATACGAGGAACGTTATCATCACGTTATCAATTCAACACCTGCGTATTCCGAAATCATACCACACATGTGGCATAGTTTGGGGTATGATGCAGTTTGGTCAGTAGCTTTAGCACTGAATGCAAGCATCGATGACGTGGCACTGATGGTTGGTGTACATTTACATCTGAATTTTATTTGGTCTTTTATATTTATATTACTGCTTTCCAATTTTAACTCTTATGAGAAACTTATCTGTTAAAATGTATTAACATTGGAAATCACACCATACCTTCAGAAAATGAATGACACTCCAGGAACTTCCAGAGATAAAAGATTGGACGATTTCACATATACCGACAATGAAATGGCTGCAATATTCAGAAAATCGTTTCAGAATGTTTCATTTCAAGGAACTTCGGTAAGTTGTATTTGAAGTTTCTATTGGATATGAACTATTATAAATGTACCCAATATTCAATTGTCCAGAAAACTGAATTCTCTCAAAATCCATGGGCATTCATCAGAATTAAATTTAGTAATCACGCCACATAACTCACCTTCTTGTATGGTTGTAATATCTTTGCAATCTCTCGAAATGATTGGCCTTGAATCTGTTTGTAATAAAAAACAATCTTCTGTTCCTGTAATTTGTTATATTAATTTACATTGATCTGCGTGTCTTTCTAGCATAAAACCTAGTTCGTTCTTCTGTCATGTTACTTTATCCGATCACACGATACTTGCAACTGCTATTTACCACACGTGTTTTCAAGCAATGCGAACAACTTATTCAAGAGTACATGAGTCATATGTTGTCTATCCTAGTATTAGTGATCGTCTATTGTAAACATCTGTATCCACTATTTTACTACAGGGAAAAGTCTGTTTTGATAAAAACCAGGACAGAATTGGAAGAGTTGGGATATCTCAAATTTGGGGTAAGCAGATTGAATTTTACCGAATATTTTGCTTGCCGTTCATTATTTTGTAATATACTTTAATCAATATTTATTGCACTTCTACTTGTTTTCTATAGACGGTGAAACAATTTATCGTGGATCTGCAACTTACGACGGGCAACTTTACCTTTTAAGTGAATTTCAGTGGCCTGGTAAAAATTCATAATATTTATCATTGTCTTTATGTCATTGAAGCAACTTTTAGCATGCAAATTTAAATTAATCGTGGTATGTTTCATATCGATTGTAAACAGGTGTTTAAATAGAGGCAATGTTTAAATATTTGTGTACACAGCAACTCAAATCACTAATACCATTACAAACATGTGTTCAAAACATTTCCTCAGGCGGAGAGCCCCCATTGGATGAGCAAAGCTGGTCGTATAAAGTTGTCACTGTTGGAAAAGCTTTGTTCGTCACTGCATATATCTTGTCTAGTATTGGAATCGCTGCTGCAGTAGTATTTCTAGGATTCAATATAAAATATCGAAACCATGGGTAATGGTGATTCATTTTTACGTGTTTGTTATGTTACATGTATTCCCAAAACATTCTCTCAATGACAATGTAATGTCAGTATTAGTAAAAATGATACAATTATACAATTTGCTCATAATACAAGTTTTATACTAATATAAACTGTTTTGTTCGCAGATTAATAAAGATGTCTTCACCAAGAATGAACAATATAATCGTGTTTGGTTCAATGCTAGTATATATGTCAATTGTTTCAATGGGATTATTAAACGCTCCATTTTATATACCAATCCACATGAGATCAATTTCGTGCGTGGTGAGCTCATATATGCAAATTTACTCCAAATCCTTTAATTCTTGCTGTTGTACAGTAATGTGTCATTTGAAAGTTGTTTTCGTACAATGTGAACTAAATAATTGATTCGAATTTAACTTCCAATTTATTGTACATAAATGGGACGTTAATTGAAGATTTGAATGACTTTTTAATGCGAGAATATGATTCCGAGGTATACACACAAAAAGATCCATCAAAGGGTTGTAAATGTGTTCAAGTTTGTGATTGCACAAACCTATTTCGGGAAATAACCTAAATAGTGTCGTATTAATTTTTACAAAATTTCATAATATTATACAACTATAAGTTGATATGATTTGTTATATTTACTATACAATTGTGATTTTTTTCATCTCTTCACTCAAGGTTAGCAAATGGTTAATCTGCATTGGATTCACTTTATCATTTGGTTCTATGTTTGCTAAGACGTGGCGTGTACACCGAATATTTACGACACTGAAAGCCCGAACTTTGGTATGTAACAATAGGTAATTGCAATTAATAATTACACACTAATAAATATAATTGTCCTAAATATAAAAAATATAAATGTTCTCTAATCAATTTATAATTCTACATTACTTGTGTTGTACTGATGTCATACATGTCCATGCATACGTTACACAAAATTGCAATCATTAAGATACAGTATGCTGGTGGGTGATTTTCCACGTTTTTCACTTATAAATACATACACACATACATACACACCTGATTGAATTACCTTGTCTGGAGGTGTAGCTTATTAGAGCACAATGTATCTAATCACTTTATTACATATAACAGGTTATGAAAGACATCGGCTTGATAACCTTCGTCTGTATACTTTGTGTGGTTGATGTTGTTGTACTGACAACATGGCAGATCGTTGATCCGTATTTGGCGTTCCTTGAAGATATGCACGATTTTGTAAGTTGTTTTATTTCTATATAAGCTTTAACATTAACATGCCGTGAAATGAATAATCTGCTGTAAGTCGTTTAGACTCGTATTATCCTTTGGCTCTTAAATTTCAAATATGCCATTTTAGGGTCAAATATGCTCTTTCATCAAATGCCGTGTAATTATTCGTACTAGTAATATCAGATATTTTCTCATTCCTGCCACCTGAACGTTCAGGATACAATGAAAACATGTCTATGCATAATATATTGTTCCAATACATTCAATGCCCGGTATATTCGTTTAGGTTTTACGTAATAACATCACAAATTATAAAATTACTTACAGTAAAGAAATGGTATATATAGCATATTATTATATTTATCAACAAGTGGTGTAAATATAATTAAAGTTCACATCACTTTTAAAAATGTTTGTTTTCTCAGATGTCTGATGACACCATTACCAAAACACTATACCAGAGGTATTCATGCACATCACAATTTGAATGGTACTGGACGGGATCTATCTGTGGTATAAAAGGATTACTTCTCTTGTTTGGTTGTTTCCTAGCATTTGAAACACGTAATGTCCAAGTGGAAGGACTTAACGACTCCAGGTAATATAATTGTTCCACATTCGTCTTTCAACTTTGTGTACAATAAAGCTGGCAGAATATCTAATATTGTCTGTATTTTTTCTGTCGTGTCTACACGATTTTGTTTTTGCCATAAACCAGCTGCACATGATTTACGACGTAATTAAACATAATTATCACATGCACCAGAAACTCACTAATTGTCTATTATTCTCAGCTACTATGTCATAAGGAGATTGGGATTTACTATAAGTGTGTAATTGGTATAAATAACAATTATGTAAATTCAATCCTAGTCAATTGACCCGAAACTATTGGTTAGAAACTAACTAATTGTATAATATTTCCAGAAACTGTGTCACAGGGGATTTCAAGTTGTCACAGAAAGGGCATAGACAGTTCCGTGGCGCTTCATTCTATGTTTGCTAACCTGAATCCTAATGACATGTACTTCGTTATTTGACCTGTAACCTCCTCTTATTTGTTGTCATCATTAACTTACAATGACAATTGTGTTATTTATTTATATACAATTATACGCAATAAATTCACGAATGGTATTAGGATAACACTGTTTATCTAGTCTAATTATTTATAGTATGAATAACAATTGTTAAAATTTAAAAGAAAACAGTTATGTTTGTGTAGCGTAGCGACATTATTGTTACTTAACTAGTAACGTTACTTTAACTACTACACTGTTTCAGGTAAAATAAATTCTGAATGATGATTATCATAGCCATATTTTACCTATACACAATTTTTTTTTTAGTTTTCCACTGTGTTTCTATTCAATTTTCTTCTATCTGTTCATAGACAAATCAGTATTTCCGTTTACAACATCATGGTATCCTCCATCGTTGTAATATCACTTTCATTTGCACTAAAGAGTGATCCATTTCTTGGTTTTGCCTTCGTCATGTTTCCGATATGGATCTGTACCTCAATGACGCTTAGTATGATGTTCATTCCTAAGGTAAGTGTAAAGCTCATTGCCTAATAAACAGAAGAATATGTAAATGTATCACATGTATAATGCAGTATCAGTGACATAAACCAATTTAATACATTTTCAAATCCCATTATTTTCAAAGTACATCCCCTGGGGGGAAATTCGATTGACGTCACCGTTTAGTTACCATTTGAAATTCCAAAACTTGGCTTGTTTAATGATCGGTATATGGCCAATAAAATTGTTCTCG